GGTGCTCGCACACCTGCAGGTGGTTCAGCAGCACTGGGGTGCTCTATATGAACTGCGCTCAGACAGAGGGAGGATGCCTGATTTTCCCGGTGCTATTCGGAACCTCTCTGGCTTCCGCTCTCTGGTCACCTGGACAATCGCCATCTCCTACTTCAGGCAAGCATAGAGTTCAACCCACTACCTCTCCGGTTCGGCTTTCCCCGCTCTGAGGTAAGTGTTCGTCCAGCTGTACATTCCTCTCTGCTCCGTCTGTGGTTAATCGCCCTTTTCATTCCCTTAGACGTTCCCAGGCTCCGGCTCCCTGTGCAGATTCCCCCTCGTTTAAGTTTTCAATTAAACTTTTAAAAGATCTGCCTGTTTCCGAGTGTATTCTGCATGTGGGCCAAACACGTCAAGCCAAATATAACACCTTCAGGATTACTTTAACAGAGTTCTCCTCCCCCAAAAGAAGGTTCAATTTTAGTAGATCTTTATCAGATAGTGCAGTTATAAATTTTAAAGAATCTGCTTCACTTTCTCTCTCCTCTGTGTCGCTGAGCAGTGCTGCAGAGTGCAAAAGCTTAGCTTATTCCCCTTCACAGGTTGATGATTTTGTTGATGGGGTTGCTAGTTCTCTGCGTACTGCCTTAGACAACGCAGCTCCTTTGAAAATGAAAACTGTTAAAAATAGAAAGCTTACTCCTTGGATTAATGCAGAGCTGCGTACTTTGAAGCAAAATGCTAGGAAACTGGAGAGAAAATATCACTCCACAGGCCTACGGGAGTCCTTCCTAGTCTGGAAAAATGGTTTACTGCTGTATAAGAGGACCATTTGTAAAGCAAGAGCAGCATACATCTCCTCATTAATAGAGGAGAATAAGAATATTCCTAGATTTCTTTTTAATATAGTTGCCAAACTCACCCAGAGCCATAGCTTAGTCGAACCCTCCATTCCACGTACTCTTAGAAGTAAGGATTTTATGGGATTCTTTATAAATAAGATTGATCTTATTAAAAATAAGATCATAAGCACTCCTCTATCCGCGATTGTACCTGAGGTAGTCATGGAATCTGAACCGGGTTTAGACTGCTTTGATCCAGTTGAACTTTCTGAATTAGCAAAATTATTGTCTTCATCTAAGCCTTCAACTTGTATGTTAGATCCAGTTCCAACCAGGTTATTTAAGGAGGTATTCCCTTTGATCTCCTCCTCCATTTTAGATGTGATTAATCTATCTCTGTTACAGGGATATGTACCAAAGGCTTTTAAGGTTGCTGGAATTAAACCTCTGCTTAAGAATCCGTCTCTTGACCCAGATGACTTGGTCAATTATAGACCTATATCCAATCTTCCTTTCTTATCTAAAATTCTTCAGAAAGTAGTTGCCGATCACCATAATGAACTTTTTGAAGAGTTTCAGACTGGCTTCAGAGCTCATCATAGCACTGAAACAGCTCTGGTGAAAGTCACTGTTATGCTGATGATACCCAGCTATATCTGTCTATAAATCCAGATGAAGCTAACCCATTACATAGATTACAGGCATGTCTTGAAGACATAAAAACCTGGATGACTTTTAACTTTCTGCTTCTGAATGCAGACAAAACAGAGGTTATAGTCTTTGGACCAGAGTCTCTGAAAAAGAAGCTGATTAGCCAGTCAATTCATTTGGATGGGATTAAACTGATTTCAGATAATAAAGTAAAAAATCTTGGTGTTGTTTTTGATCAGGACCTGTCATTTAAATCCTGTATCAAAGAGGTTTCTAGAATTTCCTTCTTTCATCTGAGGAACATTGCAAAAATTAGAAATCTCCTGTCCAGGGGTGATGCTGAGAAACTAGTCCATGCATTTGTTACTTCAAGGCTGGACTATTGTAATTCTTTACTATCAGGAAGTTCACAAACTGTAGTTAAAAGCCTTCAGCTGATCCAAAATGCTGCAGCCAGAGTTCTGATGAAAATGAAAAAGAGAGATCACATCTCTCCTATCCTGGCTTCTCTTCATTGGCTTCCTGTTAAATCCAGAATAGAATTTAAAATCCTCCTTCTCACATATAAAGCCTTAAATGGCCAAGCTCCATCTGATATCAGAGATCTGATTGTTCCTTGTGTTCCTAACAGAGCACTTCGCTCTCAATCTGCAGGTTTACTAGTGGTTCCTAGAATTTCTAAAAGTAGAATGGGAGGCAGATCTTTTAGTTATCAGGCTCCTCTCCTGTGGAACCAACTACCAGTTTTAGTCCGTGAGGCAGACACCCTGTCTACTTTTAAGGCTAGGCTTAAAACTTTCCTTTTTGATAAAGCTTCTAGTTAGAGTGGCTCAGGTTATCCTGAGCTATCTCTATAGTTATGCTGCTATAGGCTTAGACTGCTGGAGGACATAGGGACCCCTTTTTCATCATTCTGCTTTCTTCTATCTCTGTTCTCCCACTCTGCAGAATCTGTTAGTTCAATCTCTAACGTTCTGCTCTCTCTGCTTTTTCTCATAGTAGCTTCATCTGGTCTGTTCCTGTTTGGCTGTGACTCCATCCTGGAGAGAAATATCAGCTGTGCTGCTGCCATCAACACCTTTGCTTATAGATGTTAGAGATTGGCCTCTCTAAAGAGCCTTTAGATGACGTGTGTTGTGAATTGCTGGTATATAAATAAACTGAATTTAATTTAAATACATTTTTCCTCCAGAGACATTGTTTCATTATTGTCCATCTTCGGTGAGTGGTTTGGTTATGGACTTCGGTTTTTGTTTTCGCCTGCCTGCCTGAATATGACTCTATTCTCCCTCCTGATTCTCTGAGCTTGCCTGAATCCTATCGGACCTGTCATGGAGTGCACTGACCTCCCTCTCAGATTCTCTGCTGGATTATCCTCCTCCCTCCATAGAAAATTGCATGCTTTCATATCAGATGCATTGTGCTTATAGTTTATTGTTCAGAATTGGATTAGGTAAAACTTGTTTGATTATAATATTATCAAAAACTACTGCTACATATGTTTGCTGTACATCATACATGCTGCTAATCTGAAAGGCATTCCATCGGTGCATCACAACAGCTATCCTATGTTTATCCTTTGTTTATTCCAGCAGTTTGTAGTGTTTGCATAGTTAAACATAATACTGTGACAGAGATTATTATATTACCCATTATTAGTTGTGGTAGTCTTAGGTTATTTTATAACAGTAACCGATTGTCTCTCAGAGACAATTTCCCTTGGATGGTGATTAATAACTTTGAACAGCCAGTCAAGGATTCCAATCTTAAAGGTAGGATTAGTAAGCCTTGGTGAATAAGCAGATTCCAGTCATAATTATTTACATAGGTTAAGTTTTTGGTTTTACCTTTGATTTCAACTACGTATTAATTAACTATAACTTCCAGTTCTGGTCATTCATAAATTCATAATCTGGGGGTAAAATAGCACAACAGTAAATATAACAGACATATATAGCTAAAGCATCATTTCCGTAAATAGAGCATACATTGTTGAAATTTCAGGGGGAGGACTGAAAATTGACAGAAATTCTGGAACGACAGAACTTCGATTCTAGTGGGATCAGATAAACAAAACATGTCGTGAGAACACATTCATATTATTTGAGAAGATATTAACATCTCACTTTGTTTGTTCCCCGGGGAATAAGGAATTGTAACTGATTCCGCTGACCAGGAAATTTAATAATTTGTTTATTGATGGGATGCCAACTTTACAGCTAGAGACAGGGGAGCTTTGTCAAAGTAATTATGCCAGTTTTTATCTTGTTTATCAGCTACAGCTTCTCCTTTTTCCATTTCTGTTTTACACTAAAGCCTTTCATAAGGCTCTATGGCATTACAAAACACTTGCTGTGCTGCAACTTTAAGGTTATGTTCACAACCTAGACTGAAGTAACCCAAATCCAATTTTTTGCAACTTCATTTTAATAGTTTCCCTTTCCCATCATTTACATTTCCTTGTCTAGAAAACAAGCAAAGGACTTCTAATTTTTCCATTTCTGTTTTTCACTAAAGCCTTTCATAAGGCTCTATGGCATTACAAAACTCTTGCTGTGCTGCAACTTTAAGGTTATGTTCACAACCTAGACTGAAATAACCCAAATCCAATTTTTTGCCCAGATGCGACCTGTGTCTGATCATTTCATGACTGCCTGAACAGCAACAATGTGAATATTTAAAATATGACCCAGGCCACCTGGCTATGTGGCCTAAATCTGAGGCATATCGGAACTTTTGATCCTTTCAAAGGCGACTTACAGTATGTCTGAACGGCCAGGTCACATCCATCCAACCTTTTTGGCAGTAATACTCGACAAAGTCCCTATTTTGGGTCTAATAATGCAGAAGCAAGAAGATGCACTCCCCCATACCTCTATTATTCACATCAGAGAGTTTCACCTCTCTACTGGTAAATTGTTATCTCATTTTGACATCCACTGATGCTATGGATGGGTTTGAGGTTTAGAAAGTGGTATTTAGGTTTCTGAGGACTATGCTGATAATATACATGGAATAATGTTTTAACTAAATGCTTTGCCATATCCAGAAGGAGTCTATCAATGAAATTAGACACTTTAATTTTACCAGAATACTTTATCTTTGGTAAAAAAAAAACACAATCAGCACCATTTTGGCTCCTTTGACCGAGTTAGTAAAAAATATAATTGCTCTCAGCACACTGGCCTCTAAACTCTTTGAGGCTTTGTTGGTTGCCAGACAGAGGTGTCTACTAATTTATGTTGTTTTGCTCTTTTGCTTAGATACATTTTTCTTTATTTAATCAACAATTAATCAGACCCAGTAAAGTTGTAATAGTGGTTCCACTGGAAATTATTCTTAGCTAACCACAAGTAAAGATACTCTTGATGTATATAAAGTGTATTTTCAAGCAACCTCCTACTGTTAACAGATGCTGGTTTCTCAGGAACAGCTGAGGTAGGCGTGTCTATCAGCAGCCTGATGTCAGTAACTATATACGCTGATGACTGAGTGATTGCAGAGGACAACCACTTTCACTCAGGTGGAGGAAACACATCTGATCTGAAGGCTGTCTAAGGTAAATATTTTCATCACTTTCTGTACAATTTAGAATAAAATAAGACATTTGATTAATTCTAATTGATCATAAGAAAAATGTTTCATTTCTATTTACTTAATGCCTAAGTGTTAATTGCTGTCAATGTTATATGATGTTTCAATAAAACTGATAGTTAATCTATCTGAACAGTCTTATTTTCATGTTAATTAAAATTCTAAAGTCAGATAAAATGCTGATAATCTTATCAGACACATTTGAGGGCACTTATCTCAGATAACGTCTTAAGCCAGGCCCACACTGACTAGGGTCTGACTGTAGTGCAGTTCCCAAAGGAACCCAAATCAATAATATGAGTGTTTACACTTAGTTTCAGTAAAGTGTGGGTCCAGTTACTGGCTCGACAGCAGGCTCCTAAAAACAGGAGCAGTCGGACATCAGACAGGAAGGAGTTCAAGTCAATACCAGAATTAAATCAACTCTTAGCAATCCTAGCTTCAAAAGTCTCTAAATTAGTTATGGATGTGGACATAATTTTGCAAAAAGATTAAAAAATTACAGATACAATAATAAAAATGTAATTATAAAGAGAAAAAAATCATATTTATTGTATGTATTTATTCTACTATTTTATGCCAAAACGTAGAAAATAGAACTTTATGGAAGAATATGTTGCAGCAGCCTGAACTTGATGGCTTTGCAATCAACACATAAAAACCTAAATGGTATTTAGAGTAAGAAGAGTGAATAATTATTGAACTAATGATGTTTTTATTACAAAAGCATCTAAAATAACTAACGGTGTCAGAATAAAAAAGAGAACAAAAAAAAAAATCTGTTGCACTGTTGTAACTTCATGTCATTTCTTTATTGTCACCAAATAAATCTTTGCATGAGTGAAGCTGTAATGTCTGTTTCACCTGTTAATGACTGAAATCTCTCTTTTCTCTTACAAATAAACCTCTCAAACAGGTTCTGCTTTAAAGATGGAAAACCACACAAGTACTTTGGATTCAAGTTATGATCACAACAGCAACATCCACTATCTCGACTATGATGACTATGACAAAGTTTATTTCTGTAAGGATATAAATCATCTCGTGATCTGCTGGTATTTGGAGGGGGGAACTTTATTATCAAAGATTGTCATCAGCATCTTTTTTCCCATGTCCCTGCTGGCCATCTACAGTCTCTACTCCCAGGTGTGTATTAAGAAAAGGTTTGTGGTCTGCTTTTGTATTTAAGAAAGATATTGATGTTTTTGTGTCTCCTAAAAACTGTTGCATCAGCTGCGTGTTAGGTGATGGATTTGGCTTCTCTAGGCTCCGCTCCTTATTCTGCCCTGATTGTACAGGGTCGCTCAAGTTCCTTCATTGGTTTGGCACAGCTTCCTGGAATGCAGAGTGAACAGTGGTTTATTGTTGTTATTTGTTTGAACATGAGAGGAAAAGCCTTGGTGTTCATACATAGGTCCGATTAGCATGGGGACTGTCCTCAGATTTCCAGGAAGAGTCCCTGTTTTGGAAGACCTGTCCCTGACAGAAGCTGTCCAGGATTTCAGAGTCAGATGGAAGATAATGTTGTCTTTGGGTTGTTATTAGGATAGCTGTGTAAAAAACACAAACTACAGATGTTGTTCATAACAGCAGCTGCTTTAGAAGATCTGACTGCACCACGTTAAAAAAAGACAGAATCTAAATGCAGAATATGATTTTGTCGTGTATGCGTGAATCATGGATGGACTAGCTATTAACTTTTTATACAAAGATGGTACTGTACTCATCTAAAAATATCAACATCTAGAGGATATCCAAAGTATTGATAGTATGGCCTAAACTTACAATCTAATGTTTGCGTGTACTGTTTACAATAATATATATGTACAATTATGACCATGTTTGCATATTAGAACACAGAAAGATTGGAGAATGATGGATCAGTATATAGTAAGACTTATAAAATAGTTAAAGTAAGAGAAGGAAAATTAAATGATAGAAAAAACTGAAAGAGGAAAATATGAACTCTCCTAGTAGTATATCGCTACTATTGGTTTTCAACTTTATTGTCACAACAAAATCAGGTCTGTGCAGTTAACCCATCCCCTTGGGGAGCAGCAGGCTGCCATTGTGTGGCACCCAGGGAGCAGTGTGGGGTTAAGGGTCTTTCTCAGAGTGGCAGTGCATGAGAGTGGGCCTTGAACCCAGAACCCCTGGAATCCAAGCGCAATGCCCTAACCACTAACCACCACTTTCCTAAATGCTAATGCCAGTGAGGAGAGACACATTTCTACTCTCAGTATTGATTTGTATTGCTTATATATGTGTAAAATCTGTGAAACCCTAACCATCTATGTTTCTACATTTAAACATTGTTAAGTTTCTTTTTTCCTCCTTCGAGTTCAAAATGTCAAAAATCAGTCTCTAAAATCTGGACACCTGGTTACCTTGGAGTAAATTTGTTTTTCAGATACGAAGTGAACGTGTTGTTCCAGTCTTCCTCATCAACCTTCTAATCTCAGATGTCCTCCAGGTCGTCTGCATGGTTGTAAACCTTGCATATGACATGGATACTAGGATAAAATGGACAAACTTTGCATATGGCATGGATCCTAGGACAGACAGGATGTACTTTATTCGTACTTACCATGGTTTTGTTGTGGCCAGTGCTTTGTTTATGACCCTCATAACCCTGGAAAGGTAATTTTCTGTATAGTTTATTCAGAACCATGAGTTATAGTATTTTATAAGATATTATTTCATGTGAAAGGTTTAATATTTATATAAACTGTTTATTTTGCTCTGCATAGACTGTTTACATGTGTTTTTGTGTGACAGGTATCTGATGATCGCCCACCCGCTGTGGTACAGATTTAACAAAACAGCTAAGGTCTCTGTTTCCGTCTCTGTTGCCACCTGGATACTTTCCATATTAATGAGCTTTGTTAGTTATCTCTTTCCTGAAGCCGGTTTTCTAATTCCCCTCCCTTTCATGATATTCTTTGTTGCTCTGACCTTCAGAGCTCTGTCTACAGCTCAGGCCGTACCGCCTGCTGAAAAGAGACGCATTGTTGCAGTTTTGGTTGTGGTGGTTTTGATTTATATTGTGATGTTTTTGCCCTTACCTGTTGTTCATTCAATAATAATCAACTCAGATTGCTCAACAGAGTGTGAGCGATTAAAAAATGCTTTTTATAATTCTTACATTTTAATTCAGATTAGCCCTCTGGCAGATATATTGCTTTACATCTTTTTGAAGAAATGGTTCATAGACAAGCTATTAACTTCCCTGTGTTGCTGCATTAAGGACAGTGATGAAGCCCAGCAGATAGTTGATGAAACAGGAAGCTCAACTTCTAAAAGCAAAGACCATGAAAGCCCATGAAACTTAGAGGGAAATCCAAGAACTTAAAAACGCTACAATCTTCTTTCATTGTTACATTTCCTATAACATTATCCTGCAGAGCCTGTGACCTCTAGAGGACACATGGAGAACTGCATATATAACACTTAATGAAGCTGATGTAAAACATTCAAGTTCTAAATTAGCGTTACTAAAAATAACAACATGTTCTTTTCAACATGTATTGATAATTTAGGTTATTTCATATGTGGAAACCACATTTTTTTGAAAATATTATCTCCATTTATTTCAAACAGCTGAATATTATTATTTACCAGCTGATGACAGTTTTTAACAGTTTGTGTTTATTTTTAGATACTGTAACTCAGTGGCTCCCAAACATATTTATGCACCCAAAAACTTGTTGTGCTGAGCAAATCTTACCAGTGTACAGAAAAATAAAGCATTAATTTTACATTTTAAATTAATTTTCATATTGTGTCAAGATCAGGGATCTTGTGGTTTGAAAAAACAATGTTGTTTGAAATAAATAGGTCCGGGACCTATAAAGTCAACAGGGTTGACAGAAGTTGGTAAAAATGTCATTGTTGGAGTCTGCAATTTTTTTTATTTTTATTTTATTTTATTTATTTATTTTCTTATTTTTTCCCTACTTGCTTTGATTCTGTTTTATTTTCCTATATTTTAAACATGTAAAGCACTTTGCATTGTCTTTGTAGTGAATTGTGCTATACAAATAAATTTGCCTTGCCTTGCCTAAAGAATGTCTCCAAAATGTATGCATCGAGAGAGCTAATATGTCATGTTTGTTTATTACTCTACTGGAAAAATCAGGAGTATTCAACACTCTTTATGTCTTGTTTACCAAATGGGAGGATGCTTTTTAATTAACAGCTGTATTTAACTAACTAATTCAACTTGTGCCTCATAAATTCTCTTCCTTGGGTGTCATCTGTAATGACCTAAGTGATCATTGTGTGTGTAGAAGCCATTATGTATAAGCTCTATAAAAGAATGGAAATGATGTTGTCGTCCTATAATTCTCTTCTTGACGACTTAAAATTGAAGCTAAGTTTTATAAAAATTCAAAGTTCTTAAAAAGCAGAAAAAGTCTCAGACAAAGATCAAAAAATTCAGACAGAGGGCAGCTGAGTCCGGGTCCAGTGTTTATTGCTAAACACTACATATTTACACAGAGCTGATGAGCCGAAGCTAACAAATGGTGAAACCAGCTCCCTTTTATACATGTCTTTATCGGTGGAAAAACCCCCTTCAGAACATATTTCAGTCATTGGTAAAGGTCACATTGATATTTATCTGCAAAACACGGTGACATTCATAGACACATCTCATACTTGTGAGAGCACTCTCTCAGACCATGAAAACATCTGGTGCATTCAAATCAGAAACTTATGACGGTGTAGTCAAAAACATGTCAGCCCTTGCTTCAAGCTATGTCAATCTACCATACTGCTCCCCCTTCGTCTCATCACCCATTACTGCTCCGTGTGTTTGAAAATAACAACTCCTTTGTATGGCCAGATTTTTGCTGAGCTGGACTACCTTGGGATGTCAAATATCTCATTTTTATTGCGGGTGCTTTTCTTATCACTAAGGGGCCTCAACCCTGCGTTGTCCTGCAAACCTCCTCTTGGGGCCAGGCGCAATGGATACACACACTCACTACTCTGCACTTCTCCTCTTAGCCTTGAACTGCTCTGCTTTTCTCATTTGTGAAAAACAACTTTAAACTTATAAAACATTAACTTTATTTTATCTTATGTTTAGTGCAGATTAATACACAACAATGTGTGTATGGGCGTGTGTTTCACCGGAAATGTCAAATCGGTTTGACCGCTTGGCGAGAAAACACTGTCAACTCACAGCTGGCTGTTGTATAATTTTTTTGTTTTGTTTTGTAAGCAGCAAGAGTGGGAATAAATAAGCCTTCAAACAGCAAGAACAGCGTCTGGACATTTCCTGTTCACACCATCTAACCCCGGCAAAGCGCGTCAACCATAAGATTCTGGTTTAAAAACACTCCAGTGGCTTTAAGCGTCGGCTTAGTCCCTACAGTGTGTTTGCTGCATGTAGAAGCACAGGGATTCCAAAATGCAAACCCTGTGTAGTTTGCAGAAGGAATCTTAAAAATGTTAATGAACAAGCCTTTCATCATTATTTGTCTATGGTGAACTGGGAATATATAAAACTAATTCCAGATGTAGAGCTAGCCTGGACTTTTTTCAGAGACATTTTCATGCAATTAATAAACAAACATGCACCTTTGAAGAAATTCAGGGTAAAGGGGCCACGAATGCCATTTGCCAGATCTGAACATAAAGCTTAAAGAACATTAGAGCACAGAAAGCCCCCTGTACCTGACTGGAATGAGCCTCACTTCCTAAAACTGGCAGCTGTTTTCATAGCAGAGCAACTGTCCATTCTGTTTAATCTTTCAATTGAAAACAAGGACATCTCATCTATTTGGAAATCTGATTTTGTCATTCCTTTATTAAAAGGAGGTGATCCATCAGTTCTTACCAATTATAGGCCAATTTAAAATGTATGTGCAACACTGGTGTAACTTTCTGAAGGAATGGTGTGGATATGTCCCCACCAACTTTGGGCATGAGGGGGACAGTCCCCAGCAATTATTTCCGCTGATTTACTTCAGCCAGCAGTAACTGGGTGCATCTGTCTGTGTTCGGAGCGTTTTCAGTACGTGTTTTTTCCTCGCTCTCCCGCTGCTCTCCAGTCCCACCTCTCAGTGAAATATCATTGGATCTGTTGCTTTGGGACATAATATTATTTGTGATCACTAGTCACTGCATACGAGGAGGAGAAGAGATACCGGATAAAGAAAGCCGTATTAACATACAGTTGGTTTCGTCTGACCTATTATGGCAAGCCCTTTTAACATAAATTTGCAGCAGCACTCATTGAATTTTAACTGGCAGCTACTCCGATGTATGTTTAAGTAAAGGTTAGGAGACGGGTCGGTTAAAAAAATCAGAGATACCACCGAAAAATCTGTTAGTTACACATATGGAGCTTTTTCCGCTAAAATGGCAGCAGACTGTACATTTATATGAGTTTAAAAAGCTGGGCTTCTAAAATGAACACAGATCTGTTGTTTTCTTATTTAACAGAGAATCAGACTGCAGAGCTTCTAGAGATCCTGAAAATGATTTTCTCTGGCATCATTATATTGGTAGACAGGTTCATAAATCTGTTTTTAAAGCTACAGTGTGTAATAATTACAGGGATATACAGTCAGAAATGTAATATATTATACATAACTATGTTATTTATCATCATCTACGAGCTCAGCCTCTTAACCTCAATATTTGCGTTGCCTTAGAATTCGTTATTTATAATTACATAAGAGCGGGTCTCGCAGCCATGGAGGCAGACATCTTTGCCCTTTAAAATAAATCACTAAAGGCAGGCATCTGTCTATAAATACCAAGAATGTATTGTGGTACTCTTGTGTTCCCAAAAATAGCAAAGTATTCAGTAAATATATATTTGAGCTCATTTTTGCAAAATATAAACTCTATTGATAGCGTCCGGGTTAAGAAGCTGTAGGTCCATCAGCCACCACCCTTAGAGCGCCCCCATCAACTTTTATCACAAAGTAGCACGCTTGATGTGTTTATCTAAAATTCTAGAGTCTCTTGTCTGTGATCAATTGAAAGAGTTCCTCCATTCAAATGAAATCCTTTCTAAATACCAATCAGGTTTCAGAAAAAAACACAGCATTATTACGGCTACTATGAAGGTGATAAATTATATAATTGTAGAACTTGATAAAAAACATTACTGTGCCTCATTCTTTATTGATCTTTCAAAAGCTTTTGACACTCTGGACCTGCTATTTTAAAACGCAGGCTACTTCTTACAGGCCTGTCAGAGCATGCGGTTGCCTGGTTATTAAATTATCTAGAAAACAGGTCCCAGTGTATAAAATGTGAGGGGCTTTGTTCTGAATTTGTTACTGTTCATAAGGATGTGCCACAAGGTTCTGTTTTGGGCCCCCTCTTATTTATCTTGTTGTTGTCGGAAAATTTTTATTTCTTTTCTATTATATATTAATTTATCCTATTTACTCAGTATAAAATTTTTCACTCAGTCTGTTTCACCTTCAAGGCCACAGCATTCCCTGCAGGATGATGTTTGTAGACCAGACATACAGGTGCTGGTCATAAAATTAGAATATCATGAAAAAGTAGATTGATTTCAGTAATTCCATTTAAAAAGTGAAACTTGTATATTATATTCATACATTACATACAAACTCATATATTTCAGATGTTTATTTTGTTTAATTTTGATGATTACAAATGACAACAAATGAAAATCTCAAATTCATCATATCAGAAAATTAGAATATTACTGAAGACCAATAAAAACAAAGGATTTATAGAAATGTTGGCCAACTGAAAAGTATGAACATGAAAAGTATGAGCATGTACAGCACTCAGTATTTAGTTGGGCCTCCTTTGGCCTGTATTACTGCAGCAATGCGGCGTGGCATGGAGTCGATCAGTCTGTGGCACTGCTCAGGTGTTATGATAGCCCAGGTTGCTCTAATAGTGGCTTTTAGCTCTTCTGAATTGTTGGGTCTGGTGTATTGCATCTTCTTCTTCACAATACCCCATAGATTTTCTATGGGGTTAAGGTCAGGAGAGTTTGCTGGCCAATTAAGAACAGGGATACCATGGTCCTTCAACCAGGTACTGGTAGCTTTGGCACTGTGTGCAGGTGCCAAGTCCTGTTGGAAAATGAAATCTGCATCTCCAAAAAGTTGGTCAGCTGCAGGAAGCATGAAGTGCTCTAAAACTTCCTGGTATGTGGCTGCGTTGACCCTGGACCTCAGAAAACACAATGGACCAACACCAGCAGATGACATGGCACCCCAAACCATCACTGACTGTGGAAACTTTACACTGGACTTCAAGCAACGTGGATGAAGTGCCTCTCTTCTTTTCCTCCAGACTCTGGGACCTTGATTTCCAAAG